TTAAAGGTGCTAAAGTACCAGTTCTTAGTGGAACTGTCCCTGAAGACCTCTCCTTCCTAATTTCTATAGTTTTTACTATTTGTACAGATCATATTATCCATTGTAATTGGTCACATATTATTCAAAACTCTTATAAAATGTCCAGATTTTGAATTGTGTATTAAAGTTAGTCTGTTAGAATAATTTATTTTACTTATAAAATCATCCTTTTATAAGGAAGAATGCTATTATATATGTTTTTCATTTTAAAACATCTGCATAGTCTTGCATTCAGGTTGAGTTTTATTCATCCAATGAGGTCAAAGAAGTCAGCAGGTTAATTATTCATCCATTCTTTAATTCAACAAATGTTTATTGAGCACCTACTGCATTTCAGGCACCATTCTGGGAACTGGTGTTACAACAGTGAACAAAACAGGCAAAAATACCAGCTTTCTCATGAGGTTTATGTGCTAGTGGTGAGAGACAGACAACAAAATAAATAAGTAACTATAACATTTTAAAGGTGATAATGCTACAGAATGAAAAAACAATGGAGAGGGATTCAGAGTGCTGGAGTGAGGCATGAGACAGGTTACAGACTTAAATAGGTGTTCATTTCACTGGGAAGGTGACATTTGATCAAAGACAAAGAAGGTGAGCACTGAATCATGCAGCTATCTAGAGAAAGAGCATGTCAGAGAGAAGGGTCAACAAGCTCAGGGACCTCGAGGAGGGAACCTTTTCTTGCTTGTTGTTTTGGAGAAAATGCAAGGAGAAACAGGGTTGCTGGGGCAGAGTGAACAGGGGCAGAGTAGTAGGAGAAAGCAGAAGAAGTAATTGAAGGGCAAGGAGAGGGTTCCAGATCATGTAGGGCCTCGGGCCTTACATGTTGATGAAGTGACGTCACCTTTCGCTCTAGGTAGGATGGGAAGCCAGTGGGGTTTCCAGTGGAGGAGTAATCTGACATATTTTAAAAGGGTTACTGTAGCTGCCATGCCAAGAATAGACTATAGGAGAACAAGAGTGGGAACAGGGACACCAGTTAAGGGGACTATTCAAATAATTTAGGGGGTAAATGATAGTATCTTGGACCAGAGTGGTAGAGGTACCCTTGGCATTGGTGGTATACGGACTCTCTCTCTCTCTCTCTCTCTCTCTCTCTATATATATATATATATATATATGAAAGATAGAAATAATAAGATTTGCAGACAGACGAGATGATGTGTAGGAAGGAGAATGAGTCAAAAATGACTCAAAGGTTTTGGCCCAAATAACTGCAAATATTGAGTTGTTACAAATTGAAATGGAGTCCAATGAGGGAGGAGCATGTTTGCTTGGCAAGATCTGGAGTTCGGTTTTAGACATCGCATGTATGAGATGTCTGTATTCAAGTAGAGATTTCTACTAGGAAGTTAGATATAAATTGGAGTTCAAGGTCAGGGTGGGCATATAAACTTAGAAATTTAAATGAACAAAACATCATTTTTCTACCCATTCTAGAATAAGCATTCTAGCAAATGTAGTTTCTTAGGAACTATTTAAACAAACCCTCCTGTATTATTGGAAAACGAGTATAATGCAGGTGAGCTAGCTCAAATGTAACAAAGCAAATCGGCAAAACAGATAGTGTTTATGGAAGACTTATCTGTTCATTAATTCTATAAATATTTAGGGAGTGATTTCTAAATACTGTGCAATAAGAATACAAGGACAAAAGTATGCCTTGCCAGCCCTCCAAATGCTCTAATCTGGGTGAGGTGATTGTAAACAGGCTCTGACAGCACAATGGGATGAATGTTATTGGAGAGGTCTTCTTAGGCTGTTGGAGAAGCTGTAGGAGTATATAAAGACATACATGTCATTGACCCTTCCCTTGGGCAGCTTCAGATTAGCTGGAAAGATTAAACATATAAAAAGTCAAATAAACCTAAGAGGTATAAATAACTGTTCATGATCATAAAAGCAATATCATGAGGCAGCATATGAACACTTGTCAAATGCTAATATTTGCCTTAGGAGTATTAAAGAGAAGTCTTTTCAGGCTGGGGTAGCAGGGAAGGCTTTGCTTGGGTGGCATTTGAACTAAGACTAAAGGAAAGAAACAAGGTGTCTTGAAGAGATGTGATGGAGTTTCCCCTTTATTCTAAGAGTGCTGACATGACTGTGAAGGGCTTTAAGGAAGGGAGACGACGGGGTAAGATTCGAGTTTTGAGAACATTGCTTTGGCTGTAATGTGGAGAACAGATGGCAGGAGTGGATTCTAGGACACACGATAGGGGCTACTGCAGAAGTGTTTGCTGTGAGGTTTGTTGTGAGAATGGGTCGTTCAAGTTGAACTATTTAGCAAAGAGTTCGATAGATAGAGCTGGGTCACAGGACTCGGCTGGAGATTTGGGGGTTGTTTGGGAGGTAAAACTATAGCCCTAAAAGTGTATAAAACCTCTAAGGAAAAAAGTGTAAAGAGAAAAAAAGTAGAAGGCTAAGGATTTACCATCATTTAAGTACTCATTTTAAGGAGCCAGCAAAATAAACACAGAAAAGGGACCAGAGAGACAGGAGAAGGGCAAGGTGTCACAGGGCGTGAGAGGAAAGGGCATAAATGTGCAGAAAAATCTAGGTTGGGTATTCTTATCCAAAAGTTTTACTTCCCATAAAACTTTTAATGAATTATCTTAGGTGATAAAGAAATACAAGTAGACTGCCAAGGCATGATTAAACACTAATCTAGAATCTAGCCGTCTGGCTCCTCTTGAGCAAAATGGAGGTGATAAAAACTAGGTTATCCCTCTAAGAGCTTAGTCCAGGAAAGGACCTTAAAAATCACCCATTTCCAACCACTTCATTTTATAAATGAGGACAGTTAGGCCTCCAGAGAAGTGCACCCCTAAGGTTACACAGTTATTTAATAACAGAACTGGGACCAGAAAAGAATCTTTTGAGTTTTAATTTAGACTTTTCTCTTTTCATCACTGTCTCTAACTAAGCCTAAATGATATTTTTTTTTCATTCTAAGAGTAACAGATTCAGTGAAAATAGTTAAATGAATTTTAAATGTGTAGATTTTTTTAAAAATGAGAAATATTTTGGCTTCAGTCATCAACTGCCTATCTATTGTAAGAAATGTTGCCTGTTTATAATGCAAATCTATTTGGGAGAATGCGCAGTTCTAATTTTGCCCTCCGGAGGCCACTTTATTCACTCAAACATTTTCTATCTGTCAAGGCAAAGTGCAAATTCAACCCCTAGTGAAGCTCCGCCTCTCATAACCCCAGTAAGAATGATCACTCTTTCTTCTGGGTTCCCATAGAGTCAATGTTTTTCAAACTGCAGACTAAAACTTATTAGTGGGTCATGAAATCAATTTAGTGAGTCATATGCATAAAGAGAAATAGAAGATAACAGAGTACATCACATATAGTGATGGAGACAATTACTTTGCGAAACGTTTACCTCAGGTAAGAGTGGGTGTATGTGTACTGGATTGCAATGTAAAATGTAAAAAGTAGAAAAACACAGGTTTGGAGCATTATGGTGGAAAACACATCTTAACATACAATGATCAGCTGTAAGGCCACATATCTCTTTAAGGGTTGGGACTATCTTGATCTGTGTCTCCCCCATGCCCAATATACACCTGATGGGTACTCAGGAGATACTGATTGGAATTATTATGAAGATTTGAGAAGGAATTGGAAGAATGAAAAGCAGGTAGGTTGGAGAGGAAGTGAGTGCTTGAATCAAGTATAAACTTTTTAGTTTCCTTTACCTTGGATGTCAATATTGATTTTTTTTTTTCAACCTACTATTATTGCAACCAAGAACCTGTGTTTGGTATCTGTGCTGTGGGGTTATCGCCAGTCACCTTCAATGTCCCATGTGATGTGGTATAAATAATACTTCCTGCTAATGTTGCAGCTGTCACTCAAGGATCTCAAATTGCTTTACAAGCAGGATCTGGTGATGAGTGCCTGGCTCCACTTGGCAGGTGCCAGAGTTAAGAACCAGTGACTGGCTGAAATCCTTGGCTCCGGGACGACGGCTCCCTCCCTCTCGCCCTCCCACACTCTCTTCTGTCCATTCCTTCTCCCACGGAAGGAGGAGCCCTTGCCCCTGCCTCTTTGTGAGCTTGGGGAACTGGTGAACAGTCTGCAAAGATTCCACTGAGCTAGAAGATCTGCTCTTTCTCTGGGGGTGGCTGTGGTGTGTCAGGAGGAGGTTCGTGGCAATAAAGGCTATTAATTTAACTCCCTCAGGAATTGAAAAGTGGGAAGGAAAACTGCAAAGGAACTGATTAGAGGGGAGCTCTGAATCATCAAAGGAAATTAGAGACTCCTGGTTAGTAGCTCTTCAAGATTTGCACCTGGCAGAAAGGGGCTATTTGATATGTGGTCCCCACTTTGTGGGCCATTTTGTGTACCTGTGGTCTGCTCCGTAGCAACCTTATTTCTTGCTTCTGGCCACGCTTCTTTGGATTTCACTGTCCAAATCAGCCACCAGGAATTTAAGCACCCCCCCCCCCGCGCCCTTTATTTCCTTCTCTCCTTTGCAGCCCCACTGCCACCTTAAATTACTCACCTTCACCTTTTCCTGGAAGCTTCTGGGGGTCAGTCTCCTCTCTTCCAAGAAGCTGTTAACTGCCTACAGTTGGGCCTGGGAGACTCCAGGAGGGTGACAGCCGAGCCCTGGCTTGGAGTCGGGTTACACCACTTGTGTCTGAGTTCACGAAGTATGTTCCTGTCGGGGATTCCGCAAATATCTCCCTGTGGTAAAAAAGGAAAGTGCGCTGCGCTCCAGCACCCAGAGCAGCCAGCCCAGTCCCGAGACCCGGAGAGCGCGCCCGCAACCGGGGCCATGTCACCATAGCCCCGCCGCGGCCCCAGCCTCAGCAGCGTCCCCGCCGGCTCGCTCCATGCCGCGGTGCCGCCGCGCCGTGTTCCTAGGGTGAGGGGGCGATCGGGCATGCTCCTCCCCATGGGTTGCCCACCATGTCTAATGGATATCGCACTCTGTCCCAGCACCTCAATGACCTGAAGAAGGAGAACTTCAGCCTCAAACTGCGCATCTACTTCCTGGAGGAGCGCATGCAACAGAAGTATGAGGCCAGCCGGGAGGACATCTACAAGCGGGTGAGTGCGGGGCTGGATGCTCTGGGGTAGGGGCAGGGGCCGGGCCAGGGCTCATTGGCCCCCCTGTCGCTATGCCAAGGCTTTTCCTAGCTGGTGCTGTGCTAGTTGGCGAGAGGGGCGGGGTTCCGTCCAGGTCTGGTCACCTGAAGGCCATGTGACCTTGGACAAGCCCATCTCACCTCTCTTTCGCCTGTTTTCTACTTCTCTGTAAAGGGAGGGGGCTGGATTAAATCAGAGGCTCTCAAACTCTGGTGCGGAACCGTGCGGAACGATCGTCTTGGGGGCTGGTTTAACATGCAGATTCCAGCCTCTGATTCTGATTTGGTAACAGGATAGGGGAGCTTGGAAATTTGCATTTTTAAACAAGAGCCCTGGAGGTGACTGTGAGGCAGATAGTTTCCAGGCCACACAATCTGCTAAAGAAGCTGGAGAAGGGCGGCTTATAGCTCTGACTCAGTGGGGCAGAGATGATGCTACGGAGGCAAGTGCTGAGGCTGAAGGCATTTCTGTTCCCTGAAAAATTCATGTTTGTTTTTAAAGATGACTATGTAGATAAGCTTTGAAGACAGAATCTTAGGCACTTTTAGTCTTAGGAAAAATTCACCTTAGGACAAAGAAGAGGGTACCTGTGGAATAGCAGCTGGTCCCAGATGGGGTGGGAGGGGGAACAGCCACTTCCCTAAAAGGGAGGGCTGTCTTGATTGATGGGTCAGTGATTGGGGTGGGGAAGGAAGACCAGTGGATTGGATTGGTGGAGCTTAGGGTGAGATGAGACCGCATCTTGGTAAGAAGTGCTATCTATCACAATTAGGCTATGGGTTACAAGGATTAAGCTTCCTCACTGGCCACTACAATATTGATTTCCTCAGCCCTCTTAGCGTCTGGGCAAGCAGGACCTGAAGTGGCCCAAGTGGCCTGGAGCTGGTTGCCCTTGACCTTATCAGAGATGCTAAATCGTCAATTGTTTACACCAGAGGACTACACAAATATTATCATTTTCTACGTGTGCCCTGTCCTGTCAAGAGGAAGGTTGGCAAGCAGTAGGGGCTGCTGGGTAGCATATTGGATCAGAGGAATAGCTGGTGTCTGTGAGACCCAAATGATTATTTGGTAAATTTGGTTAATGTGAACAGCTAAATCTGGGGGATTTGACTCTATTTCTTGTCTCTCCTGAGTTTCCATGTTTTAATCTGAATCTTCTAGAAATTGATCCAGACTCACCTTTGATCTTTTATGTGGCTGTATAATGAGTGTGCCCCAGGTCAAGGAGGATATTGCCTAGTGAGAGACGGAGAGGGGGGAGGATGAGAGGCAATGTGTGCCTCAGGGTAGGAACAGTGAATGAATTGGCTCACTGTGCAGAGGGAGGAAACTTTTCCTATTATCTGTCTTCAAAGCAAAGCTGAAGGAAGGGGCAATTTCTGAGATAATTTGAGGGAAAGGATTTTTTTTTAGCTTCAATCGAATGACTGCCTGAATCATTTGGTCTCACTCTATGCTCTATAATGGCTAAAGATACAGTCTTCAGAAAACGCTTTGGGTGGGGTGTGAGAGGACAGCATTTCTCTCCTGGAGAAGTGTGATTAATGAGATTATAGGAGGTGCACAGGGTGTGGAAGGAGTGAGTCACAGCATATTGTCACATGTGGAGGTGACAACCGTTTAGCTCGACTCTACTATTGCTGTGGGTTTCATACAGGAAGCGAATGTGGCCTTCTTTCTACCTAGTCTTACCTGTGAGCAGTGTAGTCAGGCAGCTACTGCATCATATGATTCGAGGAATCTCAAACCACTGTGTCCCCTTCTTTCGTCTCTCACCAAATCTTTGTTCAATCTGCCTGTTTATTGCATTATTCTTCTCATTTGGATATGATTATTTGAAAACCCTAAAGGCTCAGGTTAAAATGCTCTTATTATTTGGGAAGCAGAACACATAAAGCCCTTATCAATCATTTGCACCATAGTTGCAATGAGTCTGTCACACTACTTTGCGATGAGGGGTTGACAGAAACTAGGACAGTTGCGTTTTGATGGAAGGACAAGAGATTGGGAAACCACTGCATTAGGAGCTCTGGACAACGAGGGAACCTGGGCAAGTTACTTAACCTCTCTGAGCCTGTTCCAGCCTCTGTAGAACTGGCATTAAGAATAATGCCACCCAGTTGCTGTGAGCTAGGATGATGGCAACACAGTGAGACTCTGTCTCAAAAAAAAAAAAAAGAATAATGCCACAGGCACCGAGAATTATTTGCTGTATGAATAAAGTAGCAGCCATGAAGACGAAATAAGACATATCACTTTGTAAACTTAATAGCATCATACTTATGTGAGAGGGTATTAATTATATTCCTACTCATGCTAATAGTTATTATAATACTTTAAAATGAAGAAAAGATTTGACTCTTTTTAATCTCAGCCTCATATATCCCCACAAATGTGTCTTAAATTCATCCTTGTTATTCACATTCCACAAGGTTAGGAAGGTTAATTAGCAGCAACGTTGGTAAAGAGACATGTCTAGCATCACGTGGTTTATCAGGTGGTTCAGAGAAGAGAACTTAGAGTCTTGTTCTGTTACCAAATTTAGTAACAGAAGTTTGATTTTTCTGTTACTAAGAAACAGAATTTTCTTGGTTCTCATTTTTCAGATTTTTCTTTAGTATTGGAAGGACTTCTTAAACATATATATATAGTAAAAACATTAAAGTACACCCAATTGAGTTAGAATCCACAATAATCTTAGTGCTGTATGCATGGTTTTTTAAAAGAAAACCAATGCTTGCAAAACATATATAATATAAATCTATTATGAATACTAATTATTTCATTGTTTTATATTTTGTTGAGATATTTGTACTTAAGAGTGAAAAATTACTGTCTTAGTGAGAGACAATCAAACATTTCACCATGATCACTTCAGGAAATATAGGAAATTTGGGGAGAAGAGGACTGGAGAGAGGGTGGTGTCTTTCTCTTTGCAAGTGCCAAGTCCCCTTAGGTACTTGATTGAGGGAGAGACTAAAATAGATATAATCCTTGTAAAGGAAGCTACAAGGATTTTTAATTGTAAGAGAAGTTGTAAGAGCTACAGAGTTATGTAAAAATCTAAGAGTTATCAACTTTAAGTAAATAAAAAAGGAGTTAAGGGTTTCTCTCTTTTAAGCTGTTTATAGAATTGAGAGATAATCTTAAGAATCATACTAGCCATGGATTAATAAGATAGTATCAAATTATACATAAAAATTGGTTCATCGAGACTGGCTACTTTTCCATTGAGTGTTTAAGGTAAACAATCCTTTAAGCTTCAATTTTTTAAATTTTTTCTTCAAAAGGAAGAGGCTGTTTACACTCGGCACAGATAAACTGGAACGTGTACCTTCATGATTAGATACCGCTACCCTCTCTTGGTAGCAAATATTAATTGTAAGTTCAGTTTTTTTGAAAGACAATTTTGAACATACAAAGCAAGCAAAGGAGAAATTACTGCAGTACGTATAGCTCCTGATTCTGGAGCAAAGTAAAGTGAAAAATGCTGCCAGTGGTCCACAGCTGAGTATGGCCCACTCCTAGGGAGACTGGCTTGTTAGCATTTCTGGACTGCAGCTGCTGTGGTAAGTAATTTCTGGGTGGCAACTTGGCTGGCTTCCTCATTGTTGATTGTCTAATCCTGCATCTTTTCGTATTAGCCGAGTGTGCCGCCACTGGAAATGTATCTGACCCTGGAATTCGTGAAATCCACTGCTGTGTGGTAAACACCCCATGTGCAAACAGCACTCAGAACCATCATCCACTGTGTTTTGCCTCATGAAAAGTACTTACTTGTTCAGCTTGTGTGAATTTATTATTACCCAAGGTTGCTTTAAAAAGGATTTAAGGTTGTATTCTAAGAATGGAACTTAAAATCTGACAGGGACAGATCCAATAGCAAAACGGTCAGGAGAAACAGGAAGTTGTCATCCTGGACCAGATAGAGGTAATGATAGGGTATAACTGAATATGATAGAATTGACGTTGAAAGGTTAAAGTGGGTTTGGTCTTTAGCTAGGAGTTGAGAGAGTTGTATTCCAATGTTTTAAGACCCTTAAACTGCCTGACTTCTTTGAGATTGAAACTTATTTGGTTTTCTCATCTTTGAGACTGGATGATACTTTTCCTGAGCAATCTTTAAGGTTTATACATAGCATACTTCCATAGCTATGGTAAACAGCCTGCTGATCTTACTTGCCTGCCAGATTGTCATTGTTTCTATTATTCTGCTATTCCTAGGCATGGTAGTGAAGAGCTATGAACCAGATAAACCTGGCATGAAATCTTGGTTCTACCATTTACTACCTGTGTTAACTTGGGCAAATATTTTAATTCTTATTAGTTGAAGTGAGTGTAGTAATAACACCTATTTTATGCAGTCTAGGGGAAGATTAAATGAGTCAATTATTTGAACTCAGCACAATGCCCATCACATAATAAGCCCTCAATAAATTTGCCATTATTATGACAAACCGAAAGACAACAAAAGTATTCAGATAAGTCCAATTAGTGGACACATTCCCTCTGGACTATTTTTTTTATTCCAAATCAGTTTCTTTTTTTACTTTTTTTTTCTTTTGAGACAGGGTCTCTCACTTTCACCCAGGACTAGAGTGCAGTGGCGCAATCATAGCTCACTGCAATGTCAAACTCCTGGGCTCAAGTAATCCTCCTGCCTCAGCCTCCTGAGTAGCTGGGACTACAGGCCTGCACCATCATGTCTGGCTAAGTTTTCTATTTTTGTAGAGACAGGGTCTCACTCTTGCTCAGGCTGGTCTCGAACTCCTGATCTCAAGCAAGCCTCCCACCTTGGCCTCCCCGTGTGCTAGGATTACAGGTGTGAGCCACCGTGCCTAGCCTCTTTTTCTTTTTTTTGAGACAGAGTCTCACTGTGTTGCCCGGGCTAGAGTGCCGTGGCGTCAGCCTAGCTCACAGCAACCTCAAACTCCTGGGCTCAAGCGATCCTCCTGCCTCAGCCTCCCGAGTAGCTGGGACTACA